CTCAGGAGTAACCCAGGAGCAGGGAAATGTCCCCTCCTCACTGGAGAAGGTGCCTCTGATGGATGGTGGAGTGGCTGTGCTTGTGTCAGAGCAGGATTTGGCCCTTAGGAAATCGTTAAGCTGTAAATCCTGGATGTGACAGGCCAGGGGAACGCTGGGCTGCTGCTTCCTGTCAAAGGCTGTGCAGAGACTCCTTCGTTAGAGGGTCAATAATTGGCTCGATGGGCTGTAATTGCTCACCCTGCCCTGTCACAGTGCAGGGCTGGAGGTGCAGCCTGGCCTTGTGCACCCTGGGAGGCTCCAGCAAAGCAGCTCCTGGCCTCAGGCACGGCTTTGGCAGCTGGAGGGGCCACTCTGGGGGCCAGGGCAGCACAGCTGGGGCGTGGGTCAGCAGCTGGGATGGGCAACGCTTCCAAAAGGGATGGATGGATGCCCAGTCCCCTGGTCCATCTCCAGGGAAGGGCTCTGCTCCCTGTTCCTGGGCACCCGCCAGCCCCAGCGTCTGTTGTGGGGCCTCTGTCCAGCTCTGGGCTCACAGATCACGTTGGTGACACTTGTGAACACAGTTGGGTTTCAGAGTGAGACCAGAGAGCCACAAAAAGTTGACAAACTCTTCAGGTGACCTCTCTTTGGCCGATTTGCTTGACTTATGACCGAGATGGAAAACCTCTCCGTGCTCCTGGCAGGGAGATGTGCAGCCTCAGGAGTGTGAAACACGAGGATGCAGCAGAATATTTGTTTAAGAAAGAAGAGGTGGGAGTGGTGTGGTGTGGTGTGTAGACCTTGGGTGTTCACACTGTGGAGCAAAGGAAGGGCCAGGAGAAGGTGATCCAGTGACTTCTGGCTGTGGGTCAATATGGCCAATGTTTTCATGGTGTGTTTTGGGTTTTTTTTCTAAATCACCAAATATTGCTGGTATCTTTGCAGCGTTATTTTTGTGCTCTTCCCTGTGTGATGCCTTTTATTTCGGCTCTTAGCTGTGGGAAGATGATTAAAAATGGCACATTGTCTGCACCTTGAATTTCTGACACAACCTCAGCACAGACGTTGTCGGCAATTGTGTTTCTGACAGTAACAAGACACTTTAACTCAGGATTCGGAGACTTTCTGTTCTCCTGCCCTTGCACTTAATGAAACCAGAGTTTGTTTTAGAAAGAAAAAAGCCTTTTTGAGTTAATTTCAGCTCAGTTCAAACCAGGGGATACAGAGGCAGGAACTGAAGCTCACAGTCATGAGCAAATCTGAGGAAGGGAGAGGATAAGGTGCTCTAGGAAAAGAAAAATCCTTTTTATTTCCCAAGAAGGTATTATGAACAGCAGAGAGAGAGAGAGAAAAAATTCCTTGACAAGGTTCTTCTAAAGAGGAAGAACAGTGTAAAGTGCTGGTTAAATTCCCATTGATCCTTCACTCAGCTTCCCATATACATGTGGGTTTGACTATCTGATATTTCCTTTCACTGTCACAAGTAATAACCGAGTGGAAACAATAATTTCTAAATAACTGCCTATGATTCTTCTATTGTAGTGATTAGGGCTGAATAATTATTAGCTCGGCGGAGTTTTGCACGGGTGGATGTGATGCCGGGAGCTGTCAGCCGCCGGCACCTGCGCGCTCCACTCGGCGCCTATAGACGGCGCCTATAGATGGTGCTCTTGGCCTCGCGCAGCTCCAGCGGCTGCTCCAAGCTGGGAACCAGAGGCCTGGACGTGCTTTCCACGTCCTAAATAGTCACAGGGAAGGGGAAAAAAAAAAAAAAAAAGAAAGAAAAGGTTCTTTTCCTGCCGCTGTTTTCTTGCTTTAGACATCAGGGAAGAGCTGGATGTTTGTGGTTTTTTTTTTTCACCCTGGGAGTGGCAAATGCAGAGCAAAGGCTGAGATGTGGGGTCTTGCTGCCTCTGTGGGCACCAAGGGAAGTGCCTGAGGTGATGTCCAAGGCCACGTTATCCAGGACTTTTAGCAAATGTGAAGCTCTGGGTGCTGGGAGGGTTGAAAGGCTCCTCACTTCCCGTGGCTCAGGCAGATTCATGACCCGTAGCGAGGGAGTTTATCAAAGATGAGGACAGAGAGAAATTGTGAACACACGGGCTCAAAGCAGAGCCCAATCTTTCACTGATGCTTTGCTTCACCAGCTGCTTAAGGACTGCTCTGTCACCAGCAGCCCAGATCCTGCCCTGCACAAAAGGGGTGCTGGGTGTAACTCCCTGTGTCAGGAAACAGGGGTAAGAAATCATGTGCTAACACTTTAAAGGTGCCTTTGTAGCTGATCTTCCCTGCTTGGACAGTGGTTGTCGAGCTCCTGGTTTGTTCTCCAAAGCTGTGAGTGCCTGTGTTGGTGACCCTGCTGCTGAAGAAGTGGCTGCTGGCACCCAGGTGGGTCCCAGGGCACTGCAGGCACATCCAAGGGTCTGTTCTGTCCCCAGTGCTTGGGCCTTGGGAGAGGAGGACGCCAGGAATGGACCAGGATCTGCTCTCCTGGCTATTTAATCCGTGCCTCTGCGTGGGGATACCAGGAGTGTGTGTAATATGTGTGTGCAGAGGTTGTGTGGAGCTCTGTGGGCATTGTACACGTGTGTACATCTCTGTACCTCTGTCACCACACGTGTTTGATTGAATTAGAGGCAGGTCCTTCCTTCCCTTACAGCTCCAGACCTTGATTCCAACACTTAGGCCTGACACCCTTTCCAGGAAAGGGTGAATGCAGATATCCACAGAAGGATAATACCTGGATACTCCCAGGTACATGGTCTAATTCTCAGTGTGGTGCTGTGCAGGGCCAGGAGTTGGACTTTGACGGTTTTTGTGGCTCCTTTCCGACTCAGGAGCCTCTCTGATTTCTCCAGCAGCACATCCATCACCTGAGCAGACCCAGGTGAATCTCCACCTGCTTTGTGTTCTGGAACAGCCCTTTCCTCACATGCCCTGTGTAGAAGCTTCACTGCAAGTCTGGGGTTGCTCCCCAGCCCAGCAATCCTGTGATTAGCTTGAGACAAACTCTCCATACAGGAGCATAATTGACCATCAATAAACAATAAACAGAAGACAGGATGCAGATAGGCCTGCAAAGAGGGGAGAAATGGGTGTTGAGAAACTCTGACCTGCCCTGTGTGGCTTCTGCACGAGGAGGAATTGCATCAGTGGGATGTGAATTGAGCCAAGGATGGTTTTTGTAATGGGATTTGGTTCCGTTTGCTGTGAATGTGCAACACAGGAACTGTGCTGGGGACAGAATAGGAAAGAGCAAAGCTTGCTCAGGAACCAATGCTGCCATCCACTGAGTATCTGCTGTTTCCTCTCCCAAGCGAAACAGCTGCAACCTGGGGATCTTTCCAGGACGCCAAAGTCCTCAGCTCTAGAGCTGCAGTGATGTCAAGGGGACCCTTTTGGTGGGAGTGGAGCTGGGTTCTTTGCTGTGCTGTGTAGGGACATTATCCAAGCTCCACTGGTGGCTGTACAGGTGCTTTTGGAAAGGAAAACCTTCCTGAAGGATGGTAAACGGGGTGGGGATGGGGAGGCACACGGACAAGCCAACCTGTCATTTCCTCCCAGATGGGGCACTGCAGGATCTGGTTCCCAGCCCTCCCAGGAGGGAGGGAAGTGCAGGATCTGGGACTGCACAGTGGGATGCAAAGGCATTCCCTGCTGGACCCCTGCACCAGGGGCTCCTGAACCCTCTCTACAGCAAAACTGACAGCAACCGTGTCTTTTTCCCCCAAAAAACCTGCTCTTGCAGGGTCCTGCTGTGACATGCACCAAGCATCAGGTGTGTCCTGAGCTGAGCTGAGCCTGGGGAAGATGCAGTGAGGCCACTTCAGTGGCTGTGCTACAGCAGGGGAGGTGAGAGAGGCAGGAGGGGAACTGTAAGAGTAGATTGGGTTTGTTCTGTTGCTCAGGTTTGTTGTGGAAGAGGCCCAGGACGATGGCTCTCATTTTCTCTCGCAACTCTTCCAACGTGCAATAGATAAATTTTTAAAAAATTCTTGATGACAAGACATGGCAAACAGCAATCCATCATGGTATTGATTCCCTCCACCAGTTGCACTCCTCAGAATCGCTCCTGTGAAACCCCTTGCTGGGGCAGGGGCAGCTGGATCGTGGTGCTCCTGGGTTTTTGGAGTGGTGTGGCACTGGGGCTGGCTTTGCCTCCCTGGTTCCAGGTGTTCCCAAGCCCCTGAGGGCTGATGCAGGCACCCAGTGGGGCTCAGGGTGGTTGAAGATGCATAAACATGTGATTCACTTTGGGTACCCTCCAGCTTCCAGGTATTTTTCCTCCTGCTGAGCCAGCAGGAGAGGCCGAGTGGGGGCTTTGTGGTGAACCACTCGACCCCAAGGTGGGCTCCCCTGGTTCCCAGCAGGGAGTGGTCACAGGGTGCCCTGTCCCAGCTGGCCATGGCCACTGTGGTTGGGCTCTGACAGCTTTTGGCAGGCCAGGAGGTCTGAAGGTCAGTGGCTTCAGTGGTTGTGTGACACACGCACAGCTTTGGCTCTGCTGGAGGTGACCTGGCCTTGGCAGCAAACCAAGCTGTCAGAGCCTTTCACAGACGGGGAAACTGAGGAAGGGAGGGCTCAGGTGTCGCTCTTCCCACCAGAGCCGGAAGCAAAGGGTGCCCAGAGGGAACAGGAACCAGCAGCCCGCACTCCCCTCCCTCCCGGCGCTGATGGAGGGGCCGCAGCCCCGCAAGGTGGGACAGCTGAGGGGGCAGGTGCGGGGGCAGCTGAGGCGGTGCCGGGACGCGCAGCCCCGGGCGCTGGGGCTGCCCCGCTCCTGGGGTCGCTTTCGGGCTTTGTTTCAGCGATCCCGCGGGTTCCGCTGCGCTCGGCTCGGGGAAAAGGGGGAGGCGCAGGTGAGGCGGAGAGGAGGGGGCGATGCCGGTCCCCGCTCGCAGCTCCGCGGCCGGGGAAGGGTTAATCGCGGGGAGCGGGGGCGGCGCGGGGGCGGCGGCGGCGGGCGGGGAGCGCGCCCGGGCGCGGGGCTGGCGGGGAGCGCGGGGAGCGCGCCCGGGCTCGGCGGCGGGCGGATGCCGGGGCGGGCGGAGCGGAGCCGAGCCGGGGCTCGCCGCCGCACTCGGGCGAGGGCTGCGCAGGCATGAGAGGCCGGCGGGGCTGAGCCGAGCCGCGCCGCGGGCAGGGCGGAGAGAGGGGCTGCGGGGAGCGCCCGGCCCCGCATTTCCATGGTGCCGGGGGCTGCGCGGATCCCCCCGCCGTGAGCCGGGAGCCGGCACCCGGGAGGCGGGCGGCACCGGAGCTGCGAGGGCTGGTGAGTGCGGCGGGGGATGGCGAGGGGGCTGCTGCCCGCCGGGGTGCGGGGGGTTCTCCCCTGGGCATCCCCCGATGGACGATGCGGGGAGGAGGTCTGGGCTGGTCCTCTCCGTGCTGCCCGAGGCGGGTGGCACCGGGCGCTGCAGAGCGCGAGGTGGTGCTCGGAGGCACCACTCGCCGGTCCTGGCGGTGCTCGGAGGCACCACTCGCCGGTCCTGGCGGTGCTCGGAGGCACCACTCGCCGGTCCTGGCGGTGCTCGGAGGCACCACTCGCCGGTCCCGGCGGTGCCCGGGGAGATGCGCGGGGGTGATGGGGGGTACCCGGCGCTGCCTGCGGAAGGGATGGAGGAACCCCTCCGACCTCCCTATTCCTGGGAATCCACCTCCCGCTCCCTCCCCGGGCTGCTCTACGTGCGCACACGCGTTACATACAGCGAGGTATCTCCTCGTTAATTCTGCGGCCGTTTGGTACCGCTCAGTCACGGTCTGGGGCGGCCAATGCACCGGGATAAACTCATCGCCATAAAAAAGTTCCTGTGGGAAAGGAGGGACTTTTTTGAAAAACACCTCTGAATCTTGGGGGGAAAAGGAATTAAATCCCCATTAAAACTTTCCTAAATCCCCTCAAAACCCTTTTTTTGGGAGGCGATGAGGGGAGGGATGGCGAATGCACTTGTGCGCCCTCGGGGGAATTCCCAGCTCCTGGGTGATGGTCCGAGTCTCCCCATTGCCCGAGCCGTGGACGGGTGTCGGTGACAGCTGTGGCTGCTCTGTGTGACTTGTCCTCCCTGGTTGTGACCTCCGTTTAACCTGGCACGGTCAGGCATTCCCGGCTTTGTCTCCATTCAAGCCATGGCCAATACTCGCACGTTCCTGGAGGTGAAGTGAGTGATGTTCAATTAATCTGTGTTCTGAGGGGTATCAGAAAGTCAATAGGTGAATATTTAGTGAGGTGAATAGTAAGTGATAGAGGGGGAAAAAACCCTGTGCGTCTGTGACCAGCAGTTCAGGCTTGGAGGTGAGAGAATGTGAAGTTAGCAGAGTGCCATGATGTAAAACCCTGAGCTGACAGGGTTCTCCCGTTATTTGGTGAGCACTTGATGCTTCGCTGGTGGCTGGAATGTGTTTAATAGATCTCAGCTGACTTGGGGACATGGTCTTGCCTCTCCTGCCCTGGATGGCTTCATTGATAACGGTGTCTCAAAGTTAAATCAAATGACCTACTTTACAGCTGAGAGACAGATGCCTCAGAAGAAATCTGTGCCATCGCCAGAGCAGATGTTTGGCTTTTTACCTTTAACACAGAGGTGTTAGATCCTTTAAAATTCAGTGGGTTGTGGGTTTTTTTGGTCTTTATTGCTGTCCTTTTGCCATTTGCTGTCACTTTGAGGACCCTCAAAGCTTAAATGTGATATTTTGGGGTGGTGCAGGAAACAGATAAAATAGCTTTGACTTGAGAAACTTGGTGCGAGCAGTGAGTAAAGTGAACATACAATGTCTGCTGTGAAATGCCTTATCTAGCAAACCAGTCATCTCTCCCAACTCTTCTGACCATATCCACAGCTCTTGTTGCAAGAAGATGAAGTAACCCAATTTACTCCTCAGTGTTCTTATGGCGGTGTTTGATGTAATTAATTGTGGGGTTTCCCCTTGGCTTATACCAAGTTTGTGTGGTGGAAACAGGTAACAGATGCTGCATCAGATCTGCACATAATCCACCAATATGATGGAAACAGCTTTCCCGTGCTCTTACCGTGCTCTATCTTGTTCTTTGCATTAACCCTGAGCTTCCCCTGCTTGCCAGCAGAAGGGAACTTCAGCTGGATGCAAAAAGGAACATGCAGATCCAGGCTGGTGCGGGAGCCTGGAGAAGGGGCGAGCGCTCCTGCCCTGTGCTCTTTAACTCTCTTCAGCAAATTGCATTAGTGTGTGACAAATTGGCTCGCAAAGCAGCTAAATGGAAATGACATTTGGAGCAGTTTGCTGTGCAGACCCTGTGGTGTCTCGGGGAAACATGTGATTTGCAGAATCTTCCCGGCATCTCCAATTTAACCGCCGCTACGAGGCTTTCCAGAACTTACTTTGGGAACTCCTGTTGCAGCTAAATGTGGGAGTCTAGAGCATGTCTTGGAACCGTTGCCCAAAAGCTAGGGCAGATGTAGGTGCAGACTGTCTCAATGCCGTAGGCAGCTCCTGTGAAGAGCTGAACCAGGAAAGAAAGCAAAAGCTGATATTTAGAAATTGCGTGGGGCGCGCGGTGAGAAGCTTAAGGTGGGAAGCTGGGCTGGCTGTTGGGTGCCAACACAAGGCTCTCCTGTGGGAGCAGAGGTACTGTGGTTCAGCTGAGGTGGATTTGTGGCTCTCAGAGGAGCGGACGGTGCCGTATCCAACAGGAAAGCGCACACCTGCCTCTCCCATCCCGCCTCTCCGAGCGCATCCGCGGCCGTTTGAACGCGGCGGCGATCGAGCTGCTTTAATTGGCCCCTCTGCAGCTTGAACAATAAATATGTAATGGGGGAGAGTTGCCCCCCTGTTCCACACGGCGTTGGGGCTGTCATTTTTTGATGGGGAAACGTGTGCTCTCCTCTCTCCTCGGCCCCGCTCGCTCGGGCTCCGCTCCCGCCCGTCTCTTACGGGCGCGTGAAAACCGCGCTCCCCCATCTGCGTTTGGCATCCTTAAAAGGAGACAAAAAAAAGGGGGGGGGGGGGAAAGATGAACCTGAGCATGCAGTGCTCCTGAGACAGGCCCCTTCACATTTCTAAACACTCTTGATTATTCAACTAATCTTTATTTCATGGGCCTGTTACAAGAAACACAAACGGGGGAGAAAGTAGAAGGCGGTGACACATTTAAAATACACAAGAAAAGTGCTGGCAGGAATATAATCGTTCTTCTTCCAGCGATATGAAATATTTATGGGCCTAAGTTGTGGCAAGATTCTCTGCCTCCCCTCCCACCTAACTCTGAAATGTTTTTCCCGGTAAACAGGAACTGGGGGGCACTGGTGGTGCTGCCAGCAGAGCGCTGTTTCCCTCGGCTGTCGGCAGGGCAGGAGCTCCCAGCTGGCCGGGCACGGCGTCCGTCTGTCCATCCCTGTGGAAGGGAAGGGAGGGGAGGAGTGGAGTGCGCTGGCCAAGCTGCCCGGCTCGTACGGGAGCAGAGCGTTGTGTTACAGTCTGTTAACTCGAAATAATTCAGCAGCGTCCCCTCGGCGAGCTGTGAAAAGCCCCCTTTGAGGTGCCCGTGTTGTGCAGGAGCCCGTTCTCCCCCAGGGCGTTCTGCTATTAATTCATTAGATCTGAGGGTTTTTCTCTCTGGTCCCCCCCTCTTTTCTCTTCCTCCCCCCCTCCCTTGCAATTCAAACAGTGATGAATGGACAAAAATCCCTCAAGGGAAACATTTTTTCACTTAGTTACAAAGATTTCATGGCTAATTAGAGTAAATGTGGTTTTTAGAGTGTTAATCTCTTAACCAGCTTGGCTGGGAGGCCACCGCCACAACAGCAAAGGGGAGGGCAGGGGGAACCAAGGGGGAAAAGGTGCTTCCAAGTTCTTCCCGGGGCTGAGCCACGGGTGCTGGTGGCTGGACCTGATGTGTCTGGATCACCAGGAGCATCCCGCGCTGACCTCCTTAGCTCTGCCAGTTGGGTGCCCACCTCCCTCCGAGGGCACGGCTGGGCTGGGTGAGACTCGAAGGCATTTTGGTCTGAGGAGGCCACGAGCTCTTTGTGTGCACAAGTGGTGCAGCGGGAGCCTCCGGGATGAAAGGCAAAGCGGGAACAAAAGCAGAATTGAGGGCAGCGTGCTGTCCTTGGGCGGCAGAGGCGGCCGCCCGGGGCTTGTGTTCAGAGTCTTTCTCTGCAGTGAAAATATATGTATTTACTGGGTGGTTTTAGTGCCAGGAAGGGAAATGGGCTGCGGGTGCCTCGGGCTGGGTCCCCACGTGCTGTTGGGTCACAGGGTGGCCACTGCACCTCCAGCCCTCACGTGCCCGGGCTCGCTGGTGACACACGTGGGCCAGGGGACGTGTTACTGCCCAAGTTGTTCCCTCTGCTGCTGTGAAGGGGATTTATCCTTGATGTCTGCTGTCGTGTTCCTCTCTCTCTCTCCTCCGGTACCTTTCCAGCCCTGTTTTGACTTCACCCCGAATGGCTCTGGAAAACGGGGTGAGTACTTTGTGAGAGGGCTCTCCCTGGCAGCCCACCACCCACCCCGGGCTCCACAGCCGGCACGGAGACAGCTGGGGGAGATATAGGAGTGGGATGTGGGCTTGAAATTCCTCCTCATCCCACTAGAGGGGATCCTCTGGATCCAACTGAAAAACGGACGCAAACCCAGCAACTGGCAGAGCTGCGCTGAGCCGCAGCCTCTGGGTGACGGCAGGACGGGGTACAGGGGCTGGAATTCCGACCCTCAGCTTTGCTGAACACAGCTCTGGAGGGGGGACAGGAGGATTTTGGTGCTTTTCAGACATTCCCGGCCAAGGCAGGCTGGCTGTAGCTGCCTCTCCCTGCTCCTTGTCCGTGTGGCTCGTGGCTCCTCTGCCCACTGTGTGTGAACCCAAGCTGGGAGCTGCTCAGGTGGGGATGAAACTGCTCTAGAAGGACTTTACCAAGAAAGCACAAGTTTCCCAAACACACGAGTGCAACGTATGTCAGTGATGTACCTTAATCTGCTGCGTGGTTTTGAGTGGGAATTGTGATCCATGTGTGTGTCTCAGAGGGGCTGAGCGATGCTGTCAGCCCCAGGCTGGGTACCAGGGTGCAGGCTACTGCCTGGCAGGGGCTGGGAAAGGGTGCTGGGAAAGAAGTGCCCTCCCCTGCTTGTCGGAGAGAGCCCATCTCATGTTTCTCCCTGTAATCGCAGCTTCTGTTTGGGTGAAACCGAACTGGGAGGTGGCGATGGGGGGGAATGAAAAGCCAGATAAATGTACTGCATTATGAAAATTTAATCCTGCTTTGCCTGGGCTAAAATTACGTTCAGAGCAGGAGATAAAAG